CATCTGGTCTGGGGCCTTTCTTATTGGAAGACTTTTTATTAATGCTTCTATATTTTGCTGGTTATTGTCTTAGATTTTCTATTTCCTCATTATTCAATTTTGTCAGCTTGTATGTGTCTAGAAATGTATCAATTTCTTCTAGGTTTTCCAATTTATTGGACAATAAGTTTTCAAAATAATCCTCAATGACTCTTGATTCTGTGATGTCTGTGGAGATTTCTTATTTTTTATCTCTAATTTTACTAACTTTGATCTTTTCTTTTTTGTTTTTGATTAGTTTGGCTAAGGTTTTATCAATCTTGTTTATCTTTTTAAAGAACCAACTTTTTATTTCATTATTCCCTTATATTTTTTTTATTCTCAAATTCTTTGATTTTGGCTCTGATCTTAATTATTCCCTTCCTTCTACTGGTTTTGGAATTGATTTTTTCAAGACCCTTGAGACGTATCATTAAATTATTTAGATCTTTCTGATTTTCTTATGTAGGCATTCATAGTTGCAAACTTTCCTGTTAGATTTGCCTTCAAAATGTTCCAGAGGTTTTGATATGTTGTATCACTATTCTTATTTAATTTTAGGAATTTTAAAATTTCTTCCCTGATTTATTCATCATCCAAAAGTATTTTAAGTATATTGTTCAATCTTCATGGTTTATATAGTTTTTGTATTTTTTTTTGTGTTAATATCTAATTTCCTTCTAGTATGATTGGATAAGATGCAAGGAATTAAATATATATATTTATATGTATCTAGGTATAATTATATATATGTGTGTACAAATATATGTGTGTGTATATGTATATATATATATATATATATATTGTATATCGTGTGTGTGTGTGTGTGTGTATATATATATATATATATATATATATATTGTGTGTGTGTGTATATATATATATATATTTGCTAACAGTTGCTTTGAGACCTAAAATATGATCTACTTTGAAAATGGTTGCATGAAGTGCTGAGAAGAAAGTGTATTTGGCTCTTGATGGATGATATAGTGTGTAGATGTCTTTTAGATCCATTTGATTTATTATACTTTTCAGGTCTTGAGTCCTTACTGAGTTTCTGTCTGGATGACCTGTCTATTTTGAGAGGGGTGTGTTGAGATCACCCAGTATGACTGTCCTGGGTGCTGAGCCATTAATTTGAGTAGTGTCTGTGGTGTAATTAGGTGCACCAACGTAGGAGGAATCGACGATTACTGTTGTTGTATCTTCTTGTTATATTGTCCCTGTTTCAGTCAGCTTTTTTTGTTGCTGTGACCAAAAGACCTGACAAGAACAATTAGAGAGGAGAGGTCTATTTCACGGTTTCAGAGGTTTCAGTCCACAGAAGGCGGACTCCATGCCCCAGGGCTTGAGGCGAGGCATCTTTCCTCATGATGGAGGAGTGTGGAGGAGGAAAGAGACTCAGGACATCCCAAAAGGGAAGCAGAGAGAGTTAAACTCAGAGGCGCACCCCAGGACCCACCCCGCCCCACACCCGCCTGCCTGCAGTTGCCACCAGCTAATCCCTGCAGGAGATGAGGGCACTGTGAGGCTAGGGCTCTCATACCCAGTGGTTCACCTCTAAGCCTTCTTGCGTTGTCTCACACAGGAGCTCTGGGGGACACCTCATGCCTCAACCACAGCAGTTCCCTCACTGGTATGCTGTGTTCTGAGTGTGGACAGCTTGGAGCGAGGAGCACTGTCTCTTGGCCAGGCTGAGCTGGGCAGCCCCCCACCCCGACCCCCCGTGAACTTGCAGTGTCCCGTAGATTCCCAGCTCCTCACTGAGGGGGAAACAGACCATCACGACAGCCAGAGCCAACACTATTCAGCATTGAAATAAATACCCAGTGCCTACCATGACCTCTGCAGCACTAGTCACCACAAGCCAGGATGTGGGCTCAGCAGTCACCATCAGCAAGAACAATGGCTGCTCTTGGCTGTGACACCTGGTGGTTCTCGTGAGTCCCCCCAGGTCGTTGTCATGACATAGCTGTAGAACTGGTGGGACTGGATGAGGAAGGAAGTTTCCAGCCACAGGGATGCTGGAGCCCGGGTGCCACAGCCCGCGGGAGGGAGCTGGCGTGTCCACGGGAGAGGTTGGGTCTGGAGTGGTCTTGGGTGCCCTGACCCAGGCCAGGAACATGACCTGCAGGATGCAAAGTACTTCCAAGGTGTCCATGAACAAGGAAAGTCCTAAGAAGATTAATTTCCAATTGCTTTTTCAAAATAAATATCCTCTTGGGTATCTAAGTTTGGGATACACACAGAGTCACATTGTTACTATGAGGAGGCAAATTCACATGCTCTTCATCTCAAGTGGTTAAGGGCTTTGTTTTCTGACAAGCACAGCTGAATTCTCCTGCTAGCATGACTCCCACATGCAGTGCCACTTTACCGCTCCTGGCCTGGGGCTGTGCCTGGGTCCCCCAACTGGTCCATCTCACTCTCTGCCCACCTTGCCCTCTGGCCTGCGTCTCCCGTCTCCCACACCCCTGCCTCCTGGGAACCTGTTTGGTTCATTTTCTCTGCATTTGGCTTGCTCATCTGGACCTCCACATGCGAGACCCCATGGTGGCTTCCTCTCTGTGTCTGGCTGACCCCATTTGGCATCATGTCCTCCAGGTCCACCCTGTGGTGTCCAGCAAAGCCATGTCTTTCTGGAGCTAACTGGTGTCCCATGGGCAGCAGCCCATCAGGGCCAGGGGTCATGTGGTGACTGGGCACCTGGTGTAGGGGTGTGGGTGCTCATGGAGCAGACTTCAGAGGCCAGATCCAGTCCACCTCTGCCTGAGGATACGGCCTCCTCACACCATCTGGGCTTCTGTCCCTCCGCATCGCCTCGGCACTGTCATAGCTAATTCAAATACATCATGTCTTTGATGTTTTTATGCCCCCTCTTCCCCTCAGATTATCTCTGAAAATGTTAAAATCTTTATTTGTACCAATTTCTGAAAATTCCCACTCTTTTATCATAGAGAAGAACGGGGACCTCGATGGCCTCCCTCTTCTTCCACAGTGGACTCCTCTTCTTCACACCATCTCCTCCCGTAGTTTCTATTTCCCACGGTCAACCAGGCCCTGGTTGACCCCAGATATGAGTGTTTGTCTAGACTGCTTAAAGAGAGAGGCCTCTCGTGCAACTTTCATTGCAGCTGTTGTTACTGTCGTCTTAATTTATTCCTGGCTGTCGTCACTAACCTCTTACTGTGCCTGATTGATAGACTGAATTTTACCCCGTGTGTCCAGGGCTCCACATGGAGCACTCTCTGAGTCCCAGGCGCCCACACATTCAGTTTCTGCACGAGAGCTTTTATTTCCTCAGTTTCTTTCTGCTTTTCCTTCTGCCGTGATAGTTTCTTGGCATGTTATTTTTCCATGTGTGCGCACACACACACACACACACAAACACACACTCCCATTATCAGTTATCCTATCTTACCTTCTTAGAACTTATACTCTAGGAACATTGTAAAAAGACATGGCACTTATCACAAAGGGTGCTTATAACAAAAGAGCGTGTAGCCCAGCAGAGAGGAAGAGATGTGAACGCACAATTAGACTAGAATAAGATAATTAGAAAGCAAAGAAAATGGCATTTTCAAGAAGAAAGAGGTAATCATGGAGAATTTGAGATTTGCTGCTATAGATGGTATTAGAAAACTTTTTATTCCATTATGTAAGCTCGATCCAAATCCTTGACAGAAGGAGGGTTTGTAAAAGAGGGCTCAGATAATTAAAGCCATGAAGCTAATTCTGTAAGCACATATTTTTTTGGTGTGTGAAATGAAATGCGTTTAATTTGAAATATGCAGTGATATTCTAATGAAGTACAGACTGATAAAGGCTTCTCAGGGGCACCAGTCTTACCTGAAGTTCTAAAGGCACCCTGGCTAGAGAAAGACCTTGTTTATGTCACCAGGTAAAACATTTGAAGACCCACTTACCTTTACAGTAATTATTTTGCCTAAAATACACCTAAGAGAAATAAGCCCAAGAATTACCTTTAAATCACCAAATTTTTCATCTCATCTTTTGTCAGTTTTACTGTCGTAATAAGGCGCCGAGGCCTGTTTGTGCACAGAAGTGGCGAATGACCAGGGGAGGACCCGCCGAGATTGCCAGAGCGCTTTGGGTGCAATGGCGCAGTTACGACACGTGTGAATAGAATTGAAGTGCAAGACGTTTATCACGACTCCTCACCATGAACAAGGCGTCCGTGGCCGAGGCAGGCGCAGGCAGCCCAGTTGTGCTTATCGTGGCTGTGACGTGTGAGCTAAGGAAGCTTCATTTCTAAGGAAGTGGTCTTGGTTTCTAAGTTGTGAAATCCATTTAAATCTTATCGTTCTCTTCACAAAAAGGTCACAGACCCTGAGGTCTGCCTGGTGGCACTGTCCTGCTGGGCCAGCGCCATGGTTGCTGCTGCTTTGTTCCTCGGCTCTCTCTGCAGAAGCTCACCTTCTAGGCCTTCTCCTAGGAAAAGGGAGGATCGTCTCCTTCAGCACCTGGGAGACATTTTTCTAGACAGCAGTTAGCGTGCCTGAGGTGTTTCGTGTGCTCATAAAGCCAATGACACATGGCTGCATTGTGCGTGGGTTGCATAAGGATTACTAATGAGGGCATTGGATTTTCTGAAAATCAATGTGCTTTCCAGCTACACAACACCATTCCCACCCCCTCAAAGGTGCTGATGCAAAGTGAGAATTTTACATGCATGCACTGAGTCCCCAAAGCAGACTTTGATCAGCCCCAAAGACCATATACCCTTAGGTAAAAGAATTACTCTTCACCTCTGTGTGACTGCAAGGTTGAATGTGTTTTCCATGTGGGATCTTTCCTAGTGACACTGTGCAGCAGAGCAATCCCAAGATGACACACTGGCGGTATCCACGGTGCACATGTGCTGTATGTCTCCCAGCCGGCTCTCCTCTCTTGAAGCAGGGCAGGTCTGAGCACCGAGGAAGCAGTGAAATTAACATGGGCTGGGTGTGTTTCTGTTCCAGCGGTGCCCTGCCCAAGCATCGAAGCTCAGCTCTCAGAACACGTCCTCTGGAGGCTGGTTTCGGGGTCATTGGACGAGTACGGAGCCCAGGTGCTGCTGAGCTGCAGCCCTGGCTACTACCTAGAGGGCCAGAGGCTGCTGCGGTGCCAAGCTAATGGAACATGGAGCATAGGAGAAGAGAGGCCCAGCTGTAGAGGTGAGTGAGGCGGACAAGCCCAGGTGCCCAGGTGACACGGGCATTCTGAATCAGTGGGGGTCCACCAGCAAAGACCGCCACCTCACAGCCCCACAATTGACACAGGATGCAAGGGCACAGAGGGCACTTTGATGATGAGTGGTGTTCACTTGGCATGCTCGAATACATCCCTGCTTCTTAAATGCCAAGTCATGTGTTCCTTTTAGTGACTTTAGTTCAGAAAGTGTAAGATGTTAGAATACTCAAATATTTCATATCAGCTCAAAGACAAATAAAAGCCTGTTTCTAGTCGGTAACTATCACTCCACACACTATCATGCAGAAATTCTCACAAAGAACTTGGGAACACCACGTGCTCAGTGAGCCTTCTCCTGCCTTGAAATGGGAGATGATTCTTCTCTCAGGTACAAGATAAGCAGCTAAGGCCTTGAGCGAGTTTCATAATAAATATGAATAAATAGAAAATAAGACAATACTGGTATTGTTCACAGCACCATTTGATTCAGATATCTTTAATATACGATCTTTAGTTGATTGTTCACAGGAAATTATCAAGCATAGAAACAAGTAGTCAAACCAGAGTGAAATTTATGAAATACACAGCTTAGTAAAAATAAACCACAATCCCAAAGAAAAAAGATGAAAGAATGGATGCTTAGGCTCTTAGATCATGACTCCAATTTGACTTCTAATAGGACAGATTGTTAATTAAACCTGTGCAGCCGACTTTAGCAGGAGCACAGAGATGGTTAGAAGGACGCAGACGTCGGGGCTCAAGTTCACGGTCATGGTTGAGGCTGCTCTTCCCCAGGACAGCCCCCAGGGCTGCTTTCCAGCATGGTTTTCCCGGCTCCCTGTGCCCCTCTGTCTCTGAGCCGGGGCCTGGTTTGGATGAGCGCTGACCTGGTCATGGAGTCTGAAGTGGGTTCCCCTGGATGGCCCAGGGACGTGCAGTCAGGGCCTGCTTCCCCAGGCCTGTGCTGGTCGCCCGCAAATGCCCACCTTGGGAGCTGGCTTGACAGGTGTCAGGCTTTCTAGGAGGCCTGAGGGAGGAGCATCGATGTTCTGGCCATGGCAGAGGCGTGCAGCCAGTGAGGTTTCTGTGGGTTTCAGACCAGAAGTTGGACCGTGGAGACAGGGGCCTCCTGAGGTGCATGATCACACAAGGGTCCTGTGGATGCAGTGGCCCAGCCCAGTGTGTCCTGCCTCCTGGTCCCCAGGGATGCCCGGCCAGCCTTGTGTCCCTGTCGGCACAGGGCAGAGTGGTGCTGGGTGGAGTTAGCTGTGCCCAGCCCTCGGTGCTCGGGGCACTAGTGACCATTCCAGAAGAATCACAGTGAGAGAAGAGCCTTCTGGGCAGGGGCGTATTCACAGGGTCTCGGCCGCCAGAGCCGGACCATGGCAGCAGGTGAGCTCACTGGTGCTGCAGTCCTGCTGGCCTCTCCTGCCTCTGCCCTGATCCCCAGGCCATCGGCTTTCCTGTCTCCATGGGAACACACTGGCTCTGCTGGCTCCTAAGGAGCCTGTCCCGGGCAGAGACCGCACACCCACTTCCCTGCCCGTGTCCCGCTGCGTGGACACGTCCATCTTGCAGACTGTGGGCTGTTGTATCAGTGTTGTCATTTGGGTCCTTCAGGCATCACCATGGCTGAGTGGGCTTTCCATGATCAGTGAACCCAAATCACTGTTCGCCTCTGTGTCTCCACAAACGTCTGTGGTTCCAGTTGTCATAATGTGGCTCAGGGATGTCCTTTTTGCACAACCTCTTCATTTTGTCCCCTGTCAAAAAAGTCCTTGTTTAAAATCCTTGGTTTTTAAAAATCCTCTGGTTTAACTACTTGTTTCTATGCTTGTTTAAAATTCTTTAAAATCCTTGTTTTCTCGTGAAAATTAGATTTTTCTTTTCTTTTCTTTCTTTCTTTTATTGGTGCGTCCTGAGCTTCCTTACCCATCTCCAAGGTGCCTGGTGAAGGACGTCCCACAGACCCTGGAGCTTGGGGCTGTCAGGAGGGAGCGCTGACCAGGGCTTGAGTCACTCTTGGACTCAGCTGGACCCATCGCCTCCTTTACTCGGTTTTCTTGGCACTGCTGGGGTCAGCCGCGGGCCTCGTGGTGCCAGTAGGCGCTCTACCTCTGAGCCACGCCTCCAACCTTATCTATTTTCTTTCCACGAGAGGATTGATACTGATGCTGTGAATTTATTTCTATTTCTAATTATTTCTTAAGTGTTAACCTAACAAAACACCTCGTCAGAGGTGTTCCTCTCTGAAGCACGGCAGTGCCGTGGTGGATATGGTGGTCTTAGCAGTGTGTCAATCCTGGTGCTCTCTGAATTACCAGCCTTTATTGGCACCCCCAGAGTCCCCTCTTTCTCAGAGCTTTGGAATTGTGGCCAGCACAGTGGCCTCAAGAACTGTGGTGCCCACAGGGGTGAGTGCGGTCAGAGCGTGTCCAGCCTTCGACAGCAACGGCCAGGGCAGTTCAAGTTCACGGTTGCTGCGTGGCCAGCTCCCACTAACTCAGAGGCTCAGTGCGACCCAGGTGTGTTGGGCCACAGATTCTAGCCTGGGGGTTCACTGTGTCCCATGTGGGTCCCCTGCTTGGGGCTTCCAAGGCCAGCTCCCTGCCACTGCCTGGGCGGCTGAGGCACCTGGGTGCACAGGGCTGGGGCTACTCTGGGCAACTGGGCTCGTACCCCGTGCCAGCCCTCTCGGGCTGCTGGCTGTGGTCTCTCTTAGTGGTCTCTTGGCCACTCAAAGGGTCACTCACAGGGTCAGTCCCAGTTAGATAATCTCACTCTTGTTTAACTCAAAGTGAGCTAACTCAGGGCCTGGTAGTAGTTCTGCCTATACATCGAAAAATTCTAAATCCCTATTGCTTGTTCAAAACAGCAATAAGTCAATTACATGCTAACATAAATGACACATTATTATAAACAGTACGGATTTATTTCCAAACAAAACAAAAAATAGTGAAAAGATTGTCTTTATTTTAGAAATTTGCCAATATCCTTGATGTCTGGCTGGATAGAAGCTGCTGGGTTCTCATTCCCACCTCTTAGTCCACCATGTCATGTTGGTGGAGTTGTCCACCCACTGGGCGGGTGGACAGTGAGGTGCACACGGAGCCTGAAGAGCTATGGGGCCGGGAGGTCTTCAGTTGTATTTGGAGAACTGCTGTTCAGCAGAGCAGCGCAGAGCGCAGGCTCAGGGTGTCTCGGGCACACACAGCCTCAGGCGGAGCCCTGGGAGGAACAGCAGGAACATTCTATCTAAACGTCCCTTCAGCATGGATGTTCAGGGTGCTGGGGTCACCATGGCTTTTCATAACCACATTTATCGCTTTTTTATTTCATAACCTCTTTAGAACCTAATGTTATTGGTCTTATTATTCAGGATAAATATCCAATATTTGTCAATACCCTCAGAATGATAACCCTGCACATTTCAAAAGTTCAGTTTAAAATATCAGAAAAACACACAGCCAGTATAATACTGAGAAGTACTAACCATCCTCAAGAGTTACCCAAAATATTAAGTGAAAAATGTTTTCAGAACTTCATGATGTTCGCACTACCTTGGGCTCTACAAGAAAAGAATCAATGCACACATGAGCTCCTTTACTCTGGAACGCCTCTGCGTCTGGTTCTGTACTTAAGCTCCCTGTCCCCTGTCCCCAGGGTCCCTAGCTTCGCCCACCCACACTCAAGAGCACATGATTTGAACCCCAAGGGAGCAGACTCCACTCTTGCACGGGTGTGTGGAAAACTGCAAGTTCAAACGCTCCTTAAATAAAAGAGACTTAGTGACATCTTTCCATGACCCCACTGGCCAGCCTGTGGAGGCTCCTGCTCAGGAGAAACAGGAGGTGGCTCCCCACCTGTGATCAGGGCCAACAGAGGCTTCAAGTGCTCGGCCGTCCACCCCCCTGATGTGGCCGAGGAGCCCACCAACAGGCTGCCCGTGGCTTACCTCAGAACAGCCCTACCCCCAGTCTCAGGAATTTGGTTGCTCTCAGTTACCTGTTTGGTCAGGGGCTGGAAGGGTTAGAAGTTCCCATTCTGGGGTCCAGTTAGCCCTGATGCAGAGCTGACCCTGCGCCAAATGGAGACCAGCTGAGAAGCTCTCCAGGATTTGGAGGATGGAGATGCTCCCCGTCCAGGTAGGAGTGAGACTCCTAGGTGTCCTTGGGAGAGCCCTAGGTCTCCAAGGGTCAGCAGGACAAGGCCTTAGCTCTGGAGTCCTACTCCCCAAGGGCAGCAACAGGACTAGAGTCATGTCCAGGGGCCCCACAGGCTCTGCAGGTCAAGTCCTAATGAAAGAGGGCAGCCACTTTTCCTCTTCTTGTTAAATTTCATTGTTGCTCAGCCTATTGTTGGTACTTTAAAAGTAAGAAATATGTTTATTGCATAAATCCATGAAATTAGAAAAATTCTTTACATTTAGATTTTATACTCACACACAGATGGAAAAATCTAACTGGGAATTTTTTAAGTATATGTATGCAAAGAACATTGGCTAAATTCTAGAATGTACCTCTTTCCTAACTGCTAATTTATAGGCTTCTTAAATCAGATCTTGGTCATGAAGGGAAGCAGGAAGCCTGGTCTTTGTTGGCCTGTTTGTAAGTGGAGGTGCATCTGGACTGGTTGCTGGACATGAGGGAGCGTGTGCCCACCTACACCCTAGGGGGGCATTGCCACTCCACTCAGGGCAGCTGAAGTTGAATGTTCTAGATACTTAGCATGAGCAAATCGCAGCCCACGTGAAACAATTGTAGGGTCAACTGGAGCAGCCCATTTCCAGTCTAAGGACACTCTCCTTCAGTGAGCATCTTCTCCTGACTTACATCCAGTGACAGATTGTAGCTCCAGCCCTGTAGACCTCATAACACTGTCCAGGACTCTGGTCTACACAGCCTGCCTCTGAGCCCTTCCTGGAGGGGAGGTCCTGCCCCTTCATGCAGCGTGTTCCAGCCATCAGTGCTCATGGCCAGAGCACCTTCACCAGGCCTCGTCCAGCTTGAGAGAACCTACCTGTGGGCTCATTTACAAGTAATGTCCACATTATAGACAGGAGTGCTGACCTTGCAGGTGTGTAAAAAGTGTGTCACTGGGCAGTTATTTTAAAAGGACTGTTTCAGGGGGGACCCAGAGCAGAATTGGGGGAGAGAGGCTCATGACCCACAGTCAAGGTGTGCGACAGGCCAGGTGCCCCAGCTGTGGGCAGGACACTGTGGATGCCACAGCTGAGCGTCTTCCTATGCAAAGTTGGCCCCAGGAATCAGAGGAGCCCTTCAGATTGCAGCATGACCCACGTGTAATGGGAGGTGACGAAGTACACGTAGTGCATCCATCTTGGAAATTCAGGCCAGACCTCCTCCTGGCTGCTGGACAAAGGCTCCAGTCAGTGGGGAGGGAGGCCCTCTCCTGCTAGACTGGCTTTCCCAAACCCTCGCTGCTGCCTCGTTAACCCATTGGGTCTGCAGCCAAAGGAGACTGTGTGTCTGCAATCCCATTATCCAGCTGCTGAAAGCTCAGATTTGTTGCTTTAGTTCTTCACAATTGCTTAACCCTTACTAGAGGACAAACAGAATAGCCTTGTCCCCAGCATAGTGCCACTGAAGCTGGAGAACAGCCAGGATGTAGAAACCCAGGGGCTCCCCCAGTCTCCGGGAACGGTGCGTGGCGGCCTCTGTCAGGGAAGGCTGCTGGGCCTCATTGCTATGTAACACATTCCCAGCAAGCACTCAACTCTCAGAACACGACCCAATCACCCAACCATCTACAAAGGGTCATTAAACATCACAGTTCAAGGAAAAGTTCTCATTGTGTTTGGGAAAAGGCTCAGAGAAAAGTCCCTGTAACAATCTAAATCCTCCTTGAGTCCAGGGACATTTGGCTCCAAGGATCAGTGCACTGCTGAGTGACAGGGAGCTTGCCAGTTCTGGGGCTGATCTCCCGGGTTCCAGGTGGGCAGTCCTGCAGGCCACACCTAAGCTGCTGGCTGTGTTCCCCTTTGAGACCAAGTGGTGGCCACATAGTGAAGTAAAAGCAGCCCAGCTAACAGGGTTGGCCTCAATGCCAGGCACCTGATGTTCGTCCTCACTTGACCAGCCGTAGTGTTCACCCTGACTCCATCCCTGAATGGTCCTGACTTGGGCTGTCCTGGTCTCTATCCCTCACTGAGTCTGGTCCTGTGTAAGACGGGCCTCATGCACCTGCACCTGTCTCCTCTCCGGGTCCTCTGTGCACCCTGTGTGGCAGATGCTGATGCCCATCTGTGCGAGGCAGAACCGGCCTGGGTGGTGGACGCTTTGCCACCTCTGTCTGTTCACCGTGAGGAGGAATCCGCTTTCTGCCCCTGAAGCTTTCCTCTGTACGCCTCCTAACTCATCAGTGCCCGGGGCCCTTCTCCCCAGTGGCTTTTGTGAGATTTTCATGCTAAACCAGTTTAAAATGCCTGAGAGCCACTGAGGGTCAGTAGTCTTTGATAACTTGTGATTTCCTTCCTCCCCTGGGGTCTGTGATTTTTGTCTCGAGGGTTTGGATTTGAAGTGCAGAGATGCATGCAGTACCCTGAGGGCCTCCAATGTGGCTATTAATTCACCTCCTAAAATGGAGTGCTTTGGGGCACCCTGGACATGCTGCCTCTGAGGACCAGGGCAGGCCTTTGGGGTTCACAGCCACCCCACCCACAACCACAGAAGGACCAGCTAAGTGTCTGCCAGTCCTCGGGAAGGTGCTGTGGGCACTATGTAGTCAGCATTCACACGGCACTCAGGACCCAGCAGTGACAGGGACCCGGAAGAGACGGTGCTGGCCCTGCTGGCCCAGTCAGTCCCAGGCTTCAGTACCGTCCGCTTTCCCCCAGATGAACTCCTCTTCTCTGAGGAAGTCTAGCTACCGTGAGGCGGAAGTGAGATGACAACACTGAGGGTGACGGCTGGCATCTAGGACGTGGCAGATCCGTCCGATGCTGGCGTTTCATTTTCAGGCTGAAGGAGGGAGAGGCTTCCCAGGTGACAGTCTAGCGCCTGCTGCGTGTCCTCCGTGAAGTCAACATCCGAGACTTTGGGCTGGCGTTGGGGCAGGGCAATGTGCAGACCTGAACAGTGTCCCTGTCTCTCTTCTAGTCATCTCCTGCGGAAGCCTGTCCTTCCCCCCCAACGGGAACAAGATCGGAACGCTGACGGCCTTCGGCGCCACGGCCATCTTCACGTGCAACACGGGCTACACGCTGGTGGGCTCCCACGTCCGGGAGTGCCTGGCCAACGGCCTCTGGAGTGGGTCCGAGACGCGGTGTCTGGGTAGGTTCCTCTGAGTTCTCCCACTGTTTGGTGACCCAGGTGGACGGGCTGGCACGGCTTCCTGCGCTAGGGCTCTAGAGGCACTGGGTCCTGGCGGGTCTCCAGGCTGCGTCACCCGAGGGCCTAACAGAGCATTGGAGGAGGCCGGGTTCTTAGTAGGAGTGATGAAGCATGGTCTCATGTCACCTTGCGTGATATGAAGGTGACCTCACAGAGGCTGGGAGTGTGCCTGCACTCAGAGACCACCAGCCATGAGGTGAGGATACACAGACACAAGTTTTAAAGATAATCATACAATTAGCTTCTTAAAAGTATGTTGAGAAGTTGAAGTGACATTAATCTAGATTTATAAAAGCCCGGCGAATTATTTGAAACCGAGTGCGTGTAACAATCTTGGGGTTTTTTTGAAAGCTTTAAATATCATGCATGATAATTAATAAACGGGCTGTGGGTGTGTGAAACGGTCGAGGCAGCTGTTGAGAGCACAGAGGTTCTTCACGGCAGCTCCCCAGGCCTGGGGGTCGGGCTCACACTGGCCCTCTGGAGCCCCTTGACCCTCACAGTCATGTGATCACTAAGCCTTGGCTGTGGTGGGCTTAAGCCCCCCAGGAGCTCGGATCACTTTAGGGTGGGCTGGAACCAGGGACCGGGAACAGTGAGGTCTGCTCTTCCTTTGAGTTGGGAGAATTTAAAGAAAGAGGAGGAAGGCAGAGTAGGAACCCAGAGAAGAGCGGCCTCCAGACGTTCCTTCACTGCCCACAGAAGGACCACTGCAGTGCTGCAGGCTGCCGAGTTCTCGGTGTGCCACGCACCCTCTGTGTTTCCAAGGTTTTTGACCCGGTACATGTTAGTCACATAATCTGTGTGACTAACGTCTTATTGGGGGAGTCCCTGAGGTCTTAGGAGACCGTGGGATGCCTTCAGTGCTTTGTGAAGTCACAGAGCTTCTGGGCTCTCCTGTGCTTTCCCGAATGTTCTGTCAAGGTGGGTGGCAGCTGAGCTGGTCTCTCCTTCAGGTGCTGTTGGTGTGTGTTGATGTGGTTATGAGGCAGGAGCTTAGAAGTATCCTTTAGAAATGGAAATTCTGAACCCCCAACTTTTACTCGTACCTTTTATTAGGGCATAAAAATGATGGTAGTTGAAAGAGTGAAAATAATATTAAATGGCATATTCAAAACCTCAAACTTTTATGATAAATAAATACCTATGAAAGTAATACTAACATAAAATGTAGAAAACCAATACCTTCAAATGTGCATGATGAGGACAGAATTATTAATCACAGTGTGGAAGAACAACTCGGGTGTTTGGGGTTAGATCAGGCTGCATGTGCCGAGAGCACACTCTGCTGGTCAGGCCCAGTCTGTCCACAGTACCTGCCCGGGTCCCTGTGCCATGGTGTAGTCCACATCCACCCGCTGTGTGTCTCAGAGCCATGGGGTCCCCTGGGCCTCGGTGTTCCAGGGCCACGTTGTGATCCAGGTTCTGCAAAAGCTTAGTGGCTGCTGAGGATGAGTGAGCATCTCTGGTGAAGAATCGGGGCGGTGATGTTTGAGGGGTGCTTGGAAAAGCTTCTGATCATTAGTTTGAGAGTAAAGTTAGGAAATCAGTAGCTATTTTCAGATACTTAAAGTGCTGTGAGGTAAGAGAGGGAATAAGCCAGAGGTACCGTGAAGACCTGTGCTAAGATCTGCAGGTCATTCAGGGGTCAAAGGGTGGAAAAAGCAAAAGGAATTAACACACCTTCCCAGGCCAGGACTAGGGTCGGACAGACATCGGGGCAGCAGTCGTCCTCATCAGTTCATAACTGGCATCTCTGTGGACAGGAAAAGGTGGCTGCCTGACCCCAGGTGAGAGGCGCCTCCACACCTGGGCATTGTTCGCAGGGCAGCCTGCCCAGGGTGCAGGGTGGACGGTGTGCAGAAGGCAGCTGCCCCGTGGTGCTCTCTGCTGAGGGTCTGGGCACCCAGAGCTGTGCTGAGTCTGACTCTGTGTCCAGCGTGAGGGAGGAGACCTAGAAGCAGTTTCCAGGTTTGGGAGCGAGCTCTTCCCGAAGGAGGGAGTGTTCATTCTGGGAGGGCGCTTCTGTTCGCAGTGCAGGATGGGTCACACTCTGGAGCCCTGGTTGTGCCCAAGGATTTCCAGCAGGCGTGGGGAGATGGCCCAGACCCTTTGAACAGTGCAGCAGGAACAGCTAAGCCGTGATGGACAGTGCTGTCCAGGCTGAGTCCTGTGAGGCTAAGTGCAGGGGCGCTGTGTTTAGGGACAGGGAGGAGGGTTTTCGCGGCTCACATGCAAGTGCTGACTCCCTGCTGTGTTGGCAGTGTCTGGTGTCCACTCTGCCAGAGCCTCTGACCGAGGAGGGGTGTGTGTAAACAGCAGAGATGGGCTCAGGGGATGATCAGGGTTCTCCTTGCTGCACCTGACAGGCTTCTCCTGGGCCCAAGTCCCCAAGGACATGTTCTCACTTACCACCCTGCAGATCTGGCCAGGCTGGGAGTCGAGCTCCAAGAAGCTGGCCCACATCTGCTCCACCAGTGGGAAGCTTCATGGTCCCCATGGGCCCTCATTATCTTTCCTGTGGCAATTTGCACAAGTCCTGGCAGGAGGGCATGTGTGGAATCTGGGCGCCCTGTGGCCACAGTTCACAAACCCTTGACCATGTCTGTCGCTGGACTTTGCATGGTGATGGGCTGTCATGTCTGCCACTGTGTCACCTCTTTGATGTGCAGTTTGCAAGTTGTCTCTGAGAGCCGTCCCGGGCACAGAACATCATCTTCTTACCAGACAGTGTTGCTATTATTTAGAGGAGATTTGCATCCCCACACTGAGGTGACCATGAGCAGAGGCGTGTTATGGTAAATGTATCATGGTGACCCTCACATCCCTAAAATAGCTAGGTGACATGATTCAAAAGGACATTTTTGACATTTTTCATTGTTCTTGGAGAATAAAGTTGGAATGTATTTTTCAAAGGCCTTGTATTTTTTCAGATTTCCAAGTAAAAATGTTTTATAAAACAACTGATAATCATGATAATTGTATTACCTCAAAAAGATGGCATTAGAGTAGAAATATCAAACCTACCCCTTCTATTTTATACAATACACAACAGGGTAAAATATGTGCTGTGTGTCAGCAGAGTAGGGAAAATATTTGAAAAACCCAATGCCAACTTAGCCAGAGGGTAAGTAGTTAAAAAAAAAAAAAGAGTTTCCATCTATGCTTGTGTGCTTGTGAGTTTTACCTAATGATATCCTTTTAGATCCTCAAGGGCTGTTGAGTAGCATGTGAAGATAAATGAGATGAGGTATTTCCTTCCATGGAATCTTTATGCAAGGGAAATACAAGTACCTTTAATACAAGTTGGGAATAATGAGTGTCAGGGGATGTGTGAAAGCAGCACTTCTGCAGAGGGAGGAGGTGAGAGACCCCGGGAGGAGGCTGGTGGAGGTGGGGGTGGTGAAGGCCCAGGGGAGGCACGGCGGAGGCCACCTGAATTACAGGTGGAACTTCAACACAGAGAAGAGAAACATGGTGATTCCAGGAGTCAGATCGCCCAGGCCCTGTGGTCACCGCGGGGATGCAGGGTTCTCAGTGGTGCAGGGTCTACTTGGTCTGCACAGAGCACACCTGGCACGGAACTCTCTGTGGCCAGGTGGTAAGACCTGCCTGGACAATTGTGGAGAAGAACTCATGTGACATTGTGTCGAGGTCTGGTTCAGTGCTGTTGTTTGTGGCTGCTTTGTTTAGATATGAGGTATTTCCTGAAAGATCATGCGTGAGACAATGCAGGAGGGTTCAGAGGTAAAAGGATTAGATTATGGCAGTTGTGACCCAGCTGGTGAATTAATCCACTGATATGGGTTAACTGGGCAGTACTGCAGGCAGGTAGTATGTAGCTGGAGGAGGTAGGTCGCTGGGGCAAGACTTTGGGGTCTGTTTTGTTCCCGATGAGCAGAGCTCTGTCTGCTTCCTGGTGGCCATGCCACTCTGCCCTGATGTTCTGCCTTTCCTTGGGCTCAGAGTTATGGAGTTGGCTGACCATGGACTGAATCATAAGCCAAAATAAACTTTTCCTCCTCCAAGTTGTCTAGCGAGGACTTGCGGTCACTGAGATGCAAAGCTGACATGAGGTTGTCCTTAGAGATCAGTCTGATGGTGGTGAGATATGTTAAGAACACTGCAATGCCATCTGCTGAATCCAGAGCAAGAGAACAGAAAGAAACATATCAGAAAAGCAGGGTATTTAAAATGGGTATTACAAAGACAGCTTCACCTAACAGAGAAAATCTGACTTGGATCGATTCTTGTCCTCCTTATAGACGGGCAGCACTTCCTTTGGGTTTGTCCAGGTCTGCGTGCACAGAGTAGGTTGGGAAGGAGGGTCACGAGACACTTCACAGGCAGACAAGACTGGGAAGGAATTCAGCCGGATGGGCATTATTTACCAAATATTTAGGATCTACATAAAAGAATATGAACAGGCTAAAACTTTCTGACAGCCCAAAGACTGCCCATATCATGCTGGTACTGGCTTAAATGTCTCTTCATATCAAATCTGGCCTAAAATAATTGTGTGGCCCCAGGTTGTGTTAGATGTTTTAGTCATCGTGTTCGCTACTTTAAGAGACGTGAAAAGAACAATTTTCGAGGGCGAAAAGTTTATTTGGAGGCTCAGGGTTTCAGAGGTCTCAGTCCATAGACAGACGGCTCTACTCCTCGGGGCTCGAGGGGAGGCAGGACATCATGGTAGGATGCTGGGGGGAAGGGGCTCACCTGGTGATCAGGAAGCAGAGAGAGGGAGACTCCACGCACCAGCTACAAAATACAGACCCCAAAGCCACACCTGCAGGACCGCCTCCTCCAGGCACACCCCATGGATTCAGTCCCCTCCCAGTTAATCCCATCAGGGGGCTCGGATCATGATTGGTCAAGACTCTCACCACCCTATCATTTCTCCTGTGGACCTTCTGTGTGAGACGGTGTACATCTCACAC